CTTGGTGCCCTCACTACCCCCTTTCTGCGTCGGTCGGGTATGAGCTTGCTGGGGGCCTACAAGAAAAAGAGCAGTTATGACGGCTATGAATCTTTGCAGTTGGTCGATAGCGGCGGAGAAGGCTTCGGTGTTGGCAGAGGAAGCAGCAGCAGCAGCAGCGGCGGCAGCATCAGCATCAGCAGCAGTGTCCTCAGCAGCTCCATAGGAGTCAGCCTTGGAGCTAAGGCAGCTCCACTGAGAGAGGAGGAGGAGGAGGAGGAGGACTGCAGCACCATGGACAGCTCAGGTACGCGTCCTCCTCCTAATACTCGTCAACAGACATATAGTACTCTACTATGTATTACATGTACACACAGTACCATGTTAACGCAGTTCATGGCCTTCTTGCTGTAGGGTTAGCAGTGGCTAACAGTAACCAGGAGTTTGTAGCAATGAACCTCCCACAAACAGCTCAAATATTTAAGTGTTCTCAAGTTTTATTTTATTTTTTACAATTTTCTAAACTATAAACAACTATAGACATATGTGTACATTATGTTACTTTGCACCAGGAAACCAACAAAATGACATCACAAATTCAAAATATTTAGCCCAGGTCTAATATTACTAGAACTACTACTGCTAGGAACTGACAGAGTAACTGGCTGTGGTATAAACTAGTGATGTTTTAATGAAATATTTATGTAAAGCACCAAGGTCCACATAGTATTTCTAAGGCAGATTGGGAAATATGTCAGTAATTGGACATTTTTCTGGTAGAGCTCTTTATATCTTTCCATGTTTAAAGTGAAGTAAAACAATACCTTAGTACTGCAATGTCGAACTGGGTATTTTACACACGTTACTCGGCCTAGGTTAATATAAAAATTTAATTTATACCAGCTCTTACCAGTTTATGGGTCCTTTTTGGTCCTGAAAACTTGGAAGGTGTTTTAAACTTCAGGGTTATTGGCTTGTGAAAACATTTTGGCAAAAAGAAAAGAATCTAGTTAAGAAGTTTCGGTTCTCTGAGCAGAAGCATTTGCAGTTATATGGTGTAAGTGTCAAAAGCCCGAGAGTAAGGAGTTTTATCAAGAAGAAAATTCACAGCAAAAAAAAAAACCAAATAAACACATAAACTGGCCTCTCTGTCGTACTTAGTGAGAGATCTGTCCAAAGCTCCTGGAATAAATTCTGAGACAATAGTGAATGACTAAGCACAGTCTGGGAATGTAGGTTCATAAATGACTGTCAACAGAGTGTGAGGCTGTGGAACAAGAAAAAAACTCCAGCTCTGAGACAAGTCTGTCAACAACAACCTGGAAAAAGATGACCCGTTCTGGTAGCATTTATTTTGGTCGGATAAAAAAAAAACCAACAACAAACTGAAACTCTATTTTTTTTGTTGCCTACTTTTATATAAGAAAGGTATTTTTCCTGTTGCCTACTTTTATATAAGAAAGGTAGAACATTACAATGCTGTGGGGATGCTTCAGTTCACATATAAAAAGGAATCTGGGGGGAAACTGAAGAAAAAAAAGGAAAAAAGATTTTAGAGAAAAGACAAGTTGGCAGCAAAACAGAAAAATACTGTAGATAATTTAGGGTTTTTTTTAGATCCTGGTCCCATTATCCAAGTGGACTACAATCTGGACCATATTTTCTGCCACATTTACTGAATCAGCTAAGATAAGACAAGACTTTATTAAACCCGCATTAAGTAGAAAGTGAGACTCAGCCCATCTTTCCTGTGCATATTCTTTAAACCTTTGACCTTATGTGCAAAGGAGAAGGATTCCTGTTATTACTGGTTGAATGTCATGTCAAAATTAAAATTCCCAAAGTTCAGTTTTGCATCTTGGTATGTAATAAATAATCTCCTTGATATATTGGATGTATTTCATCATTGTTTCTCATATATGAAGATCATTATCAGCCAGTCATTTATAATATATCTCATGTATATATTAGCATTAATTAACTATAATTATGATTAAGTTACTTATTCACAACACAGTGATGTTTACTGTAATCTGCACCTTCTTGTATTAACTGTCTGATTGCAGATCTTTTTAAAACACCTACAACTTATTATAACTGCTAGTATTAATGACTGACTATTACTATTATTGACCTATTGACTGATACTGTGTCATAGTAACTCATAGTGAGCACGTGCGAGCCTTTCCTCTGCCTCTGCTCTGTGTTGACTTGACTGCAGTGCTTTGTGGAGTCAGTGCACCTCCAGGGATGGACATGAGTGGGAAACAAAAGAAGAAGATGGCGATGGAGGAGGGGAGGGTCATTGAGGGGTTAGTTAAGGGGGTAGAGTGTGTATGTGTGTGTGTGTGTGAGTGAGTGAGAGTGAAGGAAGTGTTCGGTGTCATATTTCATTGCGGCCTACGAGGATGCACTCTGTGATGTGTCTCTGTCTTTTTTTTGCTTCATTCATAAATAAACAGTATTTATGCCGATCTGTTGAAAAGACACATCAAAAGGAACCATTGACCTTTGAGGCTCAATCTAGGGTTCCTGCGTCACCTGTGGTGCGGTGTCTGTGTCACACTGCTCTTTCAACCTGCTACTGTTTTTCTCATTCTTGTTTTGTTTTCTATGACGGAGCTGCATCTAAGCCTCAGATTGAGTCAAATCTTTGTCAGTGTAACAGCTGCCCCAGCCTGCAAACTCCCACATCCATCTGGTCAGTCACATATATGCTGTAGAGCAGCTACCAGACCAGCAGAGAGCTGCACGGGCAGGGGACTCAACGGGCGTGCAGGGGCATGTTGAGACAACAAAGACTGTGGGTTTTTGTTTTTTTTTTTTTATAAAGGAGACCTATTTATAACACTGTCATATTTACACTGTGAACAGTGAAACCAACATCAGGGAGGTCGACTTTGCTTTGAGATCAGCCAAACAAAAGACAAAACAAAAAGGGATCTTTCATCGCTTTGGTTAGTGTTTTTACTCCAGTGTTTCTCAAAGTGGGGCGTGTGGTCCTCCACGGGGTGCGCAGCTGTTGCAATTGGGGGCTGCAACAAGGCAAATAAATTTCTTTTTTATATATGCTTTTGGCACAGGTTTATTTTAAAATGGAACCAGATTAATCTCACTGTGCAAATGATGTAAAAGTTGGACATTTATTATTATTATTTTATAGTCCTCCAGGTCATTTTGTCCAAAGCAGTTAACTAAAGGGCAACTGATTTCTTGGTGATGTTTCACCTCTCACCCTGGATGAGACAAGATGTTCTGGCTGCCCTCTACTTGACAGCTTTGGATTTTTCTGTTCTACTTTTATGATATTTTATTGTTAAGTCTTTAAAGTGTGTTGAAAAGGTTTAAATGATTGTTTAATAATCAGGTGTGGATATAAACACTGTGCCTTTAATTCTGCCCTGCCATCGGCTCATATCATTTCCAGATATGGACGCTGGTTACGGTGGAGGCCTGTTGGATATGGTCAAAGGAGGAGCTGGGAAGTTCTTTAGCAACTTCAAGGACAACCTGAAGGACACGCTGAAGGACACGTCCACGAAGGTCATGCACCAGGTCGCCACGTGAGTGACGTTACTTCTTCAGAGTAAAAATCTGTTGCTACTCTTTTGACTGTTGGCTTTTACCTATTAAGTTTGTGGTTAACTGAGCCAGGATTTGAAGGCTGGGATGATGGTATGGCTAACGATGACGCCACCGTACAGAGCTGTGCTGTGCTGTACACCTCCATTAAGGTCGGAGAAGATAATATTGCACCCTATTTTGAAACACAAACACATTTTCTATGTCAAAAATGTGTCACATGGTTTTATTTGGAAATCAAGGGGGTTTGTCTAACTCTCCTGACCCGCCCTGCTCTGCATTGTTGGAGTCACATTCCTGCCACCTACTGGCTCTAGTTACAATGACCAGTATGTGTTTGAAATTACTAGAAGGAAAAAAAAAATACGCACAATAATTTAATCCTTATGTGAAAATATGTGAAAATAGACCGAAGTAGTGAATCTGATATGATTCTTTTTTTTTTTGTGTAAATTCTTGCGTACTCTACCTTTAACTAAAAGTCGCTTCAGATTCACAACAGCTTCATAACAAAGAAAGAGAAAGTCAGCAGCGTCTGGCACAGCTCGGGCACCGAGCAGACATCTGCACAGGCGGCACAATGGATCCTCTGTGTACACACACACACACACACACACACACACACTTCACTATTGACTAAGCAAACTTGATCTTGATTATTGCTCTCTTTTATCCTTCTCTCCTTCTTCACTTAAACTCCCCTGTCGTCTCAACTCCTCTCCTTCCTCCTTTTCCTGTCTTCTCTCCTTGTCTCCTCCCATCTGCTCCTCTGTCTATTGCACCTCTTCACGTTGAATTATTCACAACGGCTCATTGAGCCAAATGGTCAGAGTACTGCTGATACAGAAGGATCCATTTCATCAGGGTCTTAGGTGTGTGTGTTTGTGTGTGTGTGTTTCTGTATATTTATGTTGAAGGCTGGATTTAAGTTGTAGAGACGGCGTGAGACTGCTTAGCGTAGAAGGCAACAGCAGAAGACATTGAAACTTTTTGAAGCACATCTTTTCTTCTTCCTCTTCTTTTCCTGTCATTTTTTTATTGTATTGTTGTAATAATTACATTTGTCTGTAGACAAGAGGACACGAAAGACATGAGGCTTGAACTCAGAGGAAGATTCATCCATTCATTTAATTAAAAGACAACTGTTGTTTACAGAATGACCCAGGACATAGATCTGCCGTGTTAACAGAGTCTTCATTAACGCAGCGGCTACATTTGATTGGCTCCTGAAGACAAAGGGCTGAAGTTTGAATTATTTAACAGTCTTTAGGTTCGTTTGTTTACCTGGATGAAGGAAAACCAACACCATACTGTGTTCAATTCAATTTATTACACACTTTGGTTCAAATTATACAGGGCAGAAAAGCTGAATGTCACACTGTGATTTGGTGAAATTCAACAGGATTAGTTTAGTCCAACACCATGTCCTTTGAATCAATTCATTGTCTGTTATTTCCTTTCTTTCAGATACACTAAAGGGGAACTGGACATTTCCTACATTACATCCAGGATCATAGGTAAACACACAGTCACACTGACAGCCTGGTGAATCAATGCATTTTATTTTAATTTTAAATGATAAACAATCATTACATCACCTTTGCTTGTCTGCAAATAAAAAAGAAATAGAGATAACATTTGTGTAGTAAAATAGTCAGAGTCAGACAATTGTAAATATTAAAAAAGTAATTACTTCCCTGGATTTGGTTTTCTTTCTTATAATGATAAAATAATAATTACATTAATTTTCTGTCTGTGCGGACATGTCTGGACTGAGTACAAGAAAGCAGTATTTCAACTCAATATTATCAAGGACAACCAAAAAGCCTTTCTTAAAAAGAAAAAAAAGGAAATCATTTTTCTAATTTTCCAGTCTGGTGATTCGATTATGTGGTTTTTGTTTTGTTTCCAGTAATGACATATCCAGCAGAGTCCGTACAGATTAACTACCAGAACCACATGGAGGACATTCGCTCCTTCCTCGACAGTCGCCACGCGGTTTTTTTTTTTTGTTTCCAGTAATGACATATCCAGCAGAGTCCGTACAGATTAACTACCAGAACCACATGGAGGACATTCGCTCCTTCCTCGACAGTCGCCACGCTGACCACTACACCGTCTTCAACCTGTCCCAGCGCAACTACCGAGGCGCTAAGTTCGCCAACAGGGTGAGTGTGGTGCTGCTTTACAATAACCATTGGTGTCTTTGTGCTTAGCTGTTAGCAACTGTCGATGTCCGAAAACTTCAAAAACCTAGACTCAGATAAAGGAACATATTTAGAATTCACTTCCTGTTTCTGCATGTGCTTATAAACTTTTGAAGCCCCCGAAACAAAGCCTTTAATTAGCTTTACCCTTCAGCTCTGTCATTGCTTCACACTCCTCCATCTGCAGTGAGGACAATTAGTCCAGGCAATAAAAAACAAAACAAAACAAAAAAAAAACCTCTTGGCCTCAAAGACCTGAGCTCATCAAGTTTTTTGACTGCCACATAAAACTGGTTTTCTAAGGTTCTGGAACCAGTCCACTATGTGGATATAAAAAAAACTTGATTCTGTTTAAAGTAATCCATACATCACAGTTATTCATTCATCCTTTGAAGCAAATGCTTTTGATAAATGATGTGAATTAAACTGTAGCTCCCCAGATGTGAACACTATTGATTTTCCTTTCTTCAGTCTGACAAAAAATGTGCAAAAAAGTTAGACCAGTAGTACTGCAGAATAGCTAAATGTTAGGAGTGAAATAATGAATAATATCCAAGTTAGCCATAGCCGATAATAGAAAGCTAAAAGATAACCGAGGACTGATTAAAAATGACTCCTCTCCTCTGCTTTCCTGCCGTCGTCTGTACCTCCTGTCCAGGTTTCAGAGTGTAACTGGCCGTCTCGTCAGGCCCCCAGCCTCCACAACCTGTTTGCCGTCTGTAAGAACATGCACAACTGGCTCAAACAGAATCCCAAGAACGTGTGTGTCATCACCTGCTCGGTAAGAAAACCATGAAGTGTCCTCACAACATAGACTTCACACTTTAATCTGATACATGAACAGCGTAGAAGGAAGACGTCAGTGGAGCGAATGTGAATGGCCACAAAATTTAGGAAAAAGCTTTTGTGGTGGAAATAAATTCATTACAGTTCAAATCCTAGGCATCGGCCTCTTTTATGGACCTTTGTTCTTCCTGTTGTAACTGTGGCCACCCTGGACTAATGGTCCATTTTATTACATCATCAACATTATGCAGCAACTCAGTTGACAGGAATATGGACTGAATGTTTCTGCTGGGTTTATGGAGATGTACATCACCAACCCATTCATTCATTCATGTACTGGGACTTGAACCTGTAATCTTCTTACTCTAAAATCAAGATAATGAAACACAACCTCAAAAAAATAGGTTGCTCAGTGTAATAATACCCAACGCAGGGCAGCATCACCCAAAGGTCTTATTGTCCTTAATTCTGGTACTATTTTTGTTTCCAAAACATCTGACGAAAAGTGTTCCCTAAATTAAGATCTGTCTCCTGGCGCTTTCAAAACCTCTCACTTTTTACTTTAGGTATAACCTGCAGCTCACTCCCCTTTTTTATTTTCTTACTTTACATCGCTGCCACCTACTGTTCAATTCATTAGTGATGCTTCAAGTAAAGTTCCTGTGGTAATAATATCTGGTAACGTGTGGTTCCAGGATGGTCGGGCTATCTCTGGTGTTTTAGTCTGTGCCATGTTCTGCTTCTGCCATCTCTTCAACAACCCGGTTCCAGCCATGCAGCTGCTCAGCGCCAAGAGACCAGGTTCTGGCCTCTGGCCTTCCCACTGCAGGTTTGTATCCCCCAAATGAGACAGAAATGAAAAGCAAAATGAAGCGGAAGGTTTTATTACCAATGATGCCAATGTGAAGATCTCCTCTCACCACCGAATGTTAGAGCTGCCAAAAAAATGTTTGGAAGGTGAAGCTGAGGATATTTACCAGTAATGTGATGATGACTCTGGGTTTGCTGTCTGCACACGCAGGTACATAGGTTATGTGTGTAGCATGGTGTCAGAGAAGCCCACTCTGCCACACTCCAAGCCCTTGATGATCAAGTCCCTGACGATGAGCCCAGTGCCCTGCTTCAACAAGCAGCGCAGCGGCTGTCGGCCCTTTTGCGACGTCCTCATTGGAGAGACAAAGATCTTCACCACGGCGCAGGACTATGAGAGAATGAGGTGTGGACCATCACTCATTTCTGACAAAAAAATGTTCATTTCAGCTATCACTACTGTGACTTCTTTTATACAACCCTGCCTCTCTTGACTCCCACCAGAGAGCACAGGTTCCAGGAAGGAAAGGTGACTTTCCCTCTGGGCGTTAGTGTGCAAGGAGATGTGGTGGTTTCTGTCTACCACATGAGGTCGACGATCGGAGGACGTCTGCAGGCCAAGGTTGTCATATGAAATAATGCTAAAAAACCAGAACATAAGATGTGTTTTTTTTTTTCTAACAAAACTGCTTTTCTACTTTTTCTACCGTTTACACCATAGAATAAAATTAGATTTAGCAAAAAAAAAAATTCTGTCCTTTCACTGTTTCTGTCAGGTGTCCAACACTCAGATTTTCCAGATCCAGTTCCACACTGGCTTCATTGCTCCTGGTACCACTGTGTTAAAGTTCAACAAGTGAGAACGTTTCTTCACCATGATCACGAAAATAAGCCCTTTGAACCATTGAGTCTCAACTTAGTGTTGAAATAAAAAAAATATTTACAGGTTTATTTTCACCGTCTGTTTTTTTCTCCTGCAGACCAGAGCTTGACACCTGGGAGTCTCCTGAGAAGTATCCACAGCTGTTCCACGTGATCCTGGATGTGGAGGTCGAAGGTGTGGACAAGCAGAAAGACCTGACACCACCGTGGGAGCAGTTTCCATGTAAAGACCTGAGTCCCAGCGTGCTTTTCTCCTGCCACCAGGAACAACAGGATGCACTGGCCGTTGCTGGTAATGCAGAACTGACTACAAGAACCTAACATGAGCAGACGTGTGTGTGTGTAATCACCACCAAGTGCTGTAAAGATGTCTGGGGTGGAAATGTAACAGATGAAGGAGCCCAAAACAGGTGGAGACCTGTAGCAGAGTTGACCTACTTCTGTATGTTAATGTACAATAAATTTATGTACACATATATATATATTACTTGGTCCCTGCTCTTACATGGTCCCTGCTCAGTCTCTGAATGTGACAGAAACTTTTTCTATCTCCACCGGAAGAATTCAAGATTCATGTTACAATTTCAATTTATCTAAAGATGTTTAAATTAATATATAATATAAAATATATAACAAATAGTCTAATTAACCAAAACACATTTCCACAGACCCTTTAAGGACTGTGACCCCCCTTTTGAGCCATGCTTTTTTTTTTTTTTTACAAATTTTCTTGCCTTCTTTTTAGCTGTCTTTTATTCAGTAAATATCCAACATTGTTATAATTATTTGTGCTTTTACCAAATGTGTTTTTGTTCCTACAAGATGAGATGGAGGGCCTGGATCTGGAGGGTAAGACAGTAGAAGAGAGCCCAGGCTTGTTAGAGCGACACAGTGACCAGGGTTTAATACAGTTCAATCATAAAAGTATGTTTTATTTTTGTTTTTTTGTTTTACCAAAATATAAAAAAGTCACTAATTTGTTCATTTTTTACACTGATTGAACTGAAATCAGCCCCAAACGTGTTCAAAAGTCATATACAATATCACTTTGGTCAAAGATGAAACACTTGATGTACAGTGTGTATATGAAAATTCCAGTCAAAAATTGAGAAGTTGTGTTTTTAAATATGGAACAATTGGATATAAAAACATCAACTGTGAAATTACAGTCCATTTAAATTTCAATTTTTGACCAAAGTGAAATAGTGCTTTGAGTATTTAATCATCAACACCGAATATTGTATTAGTTCTTGCTGTTGTTGTAGTTGATGATGATTTCTCCAGCAGTTAAACACAGCAACCTGGTCTGTGACAGATTATAGAGCTACAGTAGAATGTTGTTGTAGTAGCTCCATAGTCTCCTACTGTATATAGACACTCCACCCCCTCCTACACCCCTGAACTGTGCTCCAGTGCCTTGCTGCTCTTACCTGCTCTTACTTTACTGAAGGTCTAGCCTCATTCTTACCTGCTGCTCCAGAGAAATGACTTGCAATGTGAAGGAAGCAGGTGTTATGGGAACATTTAAAAAAAACAAAATTGATGATAATGCATAAAACATAATTCAACTTAATGCTGCATAAATTCTTATTTTTAACTCTTTAATATCTTTTCTTCTGTCATCAACTGAATCCTTGTTGACAACATACAAGAAAAATACCCGTTAAAGTTTAAAAAAAAAAATCTAAAAAACGAATGGAAAAATTTAGTTAAAGCTCCAGTCCAAATCTTCTGCTCTTTATGGAATTTTTTTGAACTGGAAAACATCTGTGCAACCCTTTAGAAATGTCTACTCCAACGACTGGAAAACACCTTCACTCTCTCCCTGTTTTTTTCCTACAGAGCCGATTCGCCCCCGCGGCCCCTGTGAAGAAAGTGAGGCCTCTGACGATGAGATGCTCTCACTCTCCAGTCAGAGGAGCAGTGTCAGCATGGCCCCCCAGAAACCCGACCCCCCTCCTGAAGCACCTGCTGCACCCCCACTGCCTGAGGAAGTAGACCTCCTCGGCCTGGGAGGAGAGGAGATCAACCAGCGGCAGCCCTCCACGCAGCCCCCGTCCACTGCAGCCACAGCCACGCCTATGACCACTGACCTTCTTGGGGACTTTTTCGGGACCCCAGCTCCATCATCCAGTGGGCCCTCATCTACACAGTCCACACCACATAAAGTCATCCCCAACACTGCCTCGCCGTGTCACTCCCCTGCACCAGGTGAAGAAGCTGCTCTGCCTGAAAAGTCTTATATATTGTGTTATATGTACGATATATTTATGGCTTTACCTCTTGTATTGTTCACTGTCCTTTTTGTTGATTCAACATAAGATGAGCTAATTTAATTTAATCTAATTAAATTCTAATCTCAATCTCAGACTTAATCTTGATCTCAGTCTTAGTCTTAATCCTAATCCTAATCCATATCTTAATTTTAATCTCTGTCTTAATCTCAATCTAAATAATGTGTATGTATTTTTGTAACTGCTACCTTGAAAGCTAACAACAATACAAGAGTAGAAAAGTACATTTTTTAAAAATATTTTTATTTTTTATCTTTAGCGTTCGACCCCTTCGGAGCAGGTCCGATGCCGAAGCCTCAGGACGTGAAGGGCTCATTCCTTGGTCCAGGTAACGTGGGGCAGCCAGACCCCTTCCTGCATGCTGCTCGCTCTCCATCACCCACGCTGCAGGCTACGAGTGTGGGTAAGGCATGAACCTGCTGCTCTGGCCCAGACCAGCATAGAGAATGGTTCTTAATGGACTAGTTCTGAAAATCAGCCTTGAGAACAACACTGGAATACATTTTATTCACATGTACTTACTGCTTCTCACTGCTACTTGTTGCATGAAATCACCTGTTTAAATAGCAGCTGTATGATACAGTAGATGATGTGTGTTGGCATGATGATGATGATGAATGATGGGAATTTGCATCATGTGACTATTCCTGCAGAGACACAACAGTGACTTGGTATTTACTTCCTTCATGAGAAATGATTCATCATCTCAAAGCCTGTTAGTCAAAACCTTAGTTCTAATGATCTTGTTATTACTTGATTAAGTTATTAAAGGACTAGACCTGTGAAAGAAAACCATAAAACCAAAATCCATGTAAAACCCACGTTGATACTTGAATGGCTGCAGACCAAGAAGTGAGCAGGGGTTAAAGTACTGATGTAATAAAGAACAGAGTGGAGTCTTTATTTAAAAAGTCAAGACAATAAAGTAGCGTTTTAAATAACTTGTCATATTTGTCCTTCAATAGGCCGGAGTTCTCCTGCTCCACCCTCAACACCCACTGTCAACATTCAACAGCAAAACACTATGGGAGGATGGGACTGGAACACACCCACTACTACAAACACAGGTACTGCTGACGATGCAGATTCAAACCCATAACCGTCAAACACCTTTACCTTCACTTCTAACTCTGCGTTCGTCAGATCACCTCCATCCTGGAAGCCAACTTACTAGCTTCCTTTGATTTTAAATTTTGATTTCAATGTTCTGATTTCATGTATCTGTGACTTTTAAATTTTTCCCTTCATTGTCCAGGAGCAGCTTTTGGAATGGGCAGCCGCTCGGCCACCACAAGCCCTACAGGATCCGTCCACAGCACTCCCACCCACCAGACCAAGCCCAACACACTGGACCCCTTCGCTGACTTAGGAAACCTAGGAGGAACCCTGGGAGGTCAGTTATGATAAGGTTCTCTGTTGATCTTTTATTTTGGTCTTTATTATGGTCTGCTTTAATCTATGGATCTGTCATTTTTAGGAGGTTCTGGGTTCTCCAGCAAACCTACCACTCCAACTGGAACAGTGCCAACGTTTCCACCCATGGGCTCTCCATCTCGGCCTCCTCCGTCACCTCAACATGCAGGAGGGTGGCAGCCTCACGCAGGAGCCAGCTTCCCCTCCTGGCAGCCGGGGGCTGCTAGCGGTGGGGGATGGCTGCCTCAAGGTCCAGGCCCTGCCCCACAGCCGAAGCCCAGCCCCAGTCACACCTCCATGCCTCACGCCTCCCCCCAGAACCGACCCAACTATAATGTCAGCTTCTCTGTGATGGGAGGAGGTTCCCCCAGCGCAGGAGTGAAAGCACAGCCTGGCGTGGGTGAGATGACAATTTTAAAAAACATTTTATATATGTGTATATATACGTACAGTATATATATTATGTGAGAAAGAAAAGTGTATATATATATATGTATGTGTATATATATATATACTTTGTCTTTCTTGCAAAAAGGGCTGGGTTGTCTCTCATAAAACAAATTCAGTGTTGACTAAATACAGACTCACTGTTCAGGGATAAATATCACTGGAATGCAGGAGGTTTATTACAGGAAGTAATAACCCAAAGGCATTAAAGTTTTCCATTAAACCTATATGACCAGAAATGCTATTAAATGAAAAAAATCTTTTTGGGGAGCTAATAATATTTGATCTATTACCTAATAATCTGGCTTATTTAAAAAAAATCATTATTGATAAAGGATATTGAAGGAGGTTGATGTGATTTTTAATGTATTTTTTCTGATAGTACTCTGTTTTTGAATGTATTTTTTCTGATAGTACTCTGTTCCTCAGAAGCTGAAAACAACAGTTTCAAAGAAGTATTTTCATGTCTCCCTCTGCCAGGCCCAAAGCCCAAAGCCTCAGATGCCAACTTTGATGACCTGCTGTCTGGTCAGGGCTTCACAGGGACCAAAGAGAAGAAAGGGCCCAGGACTATTGCAGAGATGAGGAAGGAGGAGATGGCCAAAGAAATGGACCCCGAGAAACTAAAGGCAGGGGCAACTGAGCAACTACTACACACAATACATGGACTATTAAGTGCAAATGTGTCTTTGTAAAGTATTTTAGAGTCAGAGGTTTAATAAACTAAAGAGGTGGTTCTCAGAGTGGGATGCGGAGCTAATGTAGGGACAGGCCAAAGGAGTTTTATTTTCAACATTATTTTATTTCCTTTTTTATTGAGAATCACTGCTTTGCACGAATTACAGGTTTTACATTTAAATTAATTTCCCTGGAGTTTTAAAAAAACTCAAAACATTATGACAAAATGACACAAATGTTTAATTAGTAATTGTTTCAGGCCTGGTCCTCTTCTTTGCAGATCCTGGACTGGATCGAGGGGAAGGAGCGTAACATCCGTGCACTGCTGTCCACCATGCACACCGTGCTGTGGGAGGGAGAGACGCGCTGGAAGCCCATTGGTATGGCTGACCTGGTTACTCCAGAGCAGGTGAAGAAGGTTTACCGCAGAGCAGTGCTGGTCGTCCACCCAGACAAGGTAAGTGAATACTGTCATGTGGACTTAGACATGATTAAAGATGTGCACAGGATTGACAAAATCAAACAAACGGAATATTGCACCATCTAGTGGTGGAGTTTCACATAGCTAACCACCCAAAAATCCCCTGCATTTATGACCCATTAAACCCTCAATTTCGTCCACGTACAAACAGCATTATTGTTATTAGTGATCGATGATTAACTAAACCTTTCAAACATTGAAGAGACACTTTTTCATACATGAAACAAACAGTGAAAACACTACAATAAAAACGGCCAAAATAAAAACTAACTTAAAGGTCAGGTAACTTGGCGTTCCAAACACAGAGCTGATCCAGTCCGATAAAGAGCTACTGTTCTGGTGGACGGATTTGGCGCTTTCGTAAAGGTGATTGACGATGTCACTGATAGTGGCGTTGTACTCGGGAACAAAAGTACAGCATTCGGAACCGATGACGGCACAAGTTCCTCCCTGAGCCGCTAAAAGGAAATCCAGAGCTGCCCTGTTCTGTAAGGCCAACAGTCGAACTGAGGCCAGTTCACTGGATATTAGCATCAGCGCTCGACCTGTTTCATTAGCTATGACCTCCACCGCATGAGACAGGTCGGAAATTTGATCTAACGTTGACATGATTCCGTAAAAGGGGAGAAGAGCGGCCAGTGAATTTTTTAAAGGAGACTGGTGGTGTGTTCCAAAGATGTCTGAAATTTCACGGCGCCGCCGGGAGCCTTGCGTGGCAGGGAGTGGGCCACTCTCATGGCTGGGAGGACGTACGCCAGGCCACAGCGTCCGTTGTAGTCCACAGGGAGATACGGATATGCCAGGTTTCCACAAACCCAGTACATGCCCGTGGGAGAGGAGATGGAGCAGGTAGCGGTGCGGTGAGCTAACGCGCTGAGGTGGGCTGGTCCAGCTGCTTCCAAACACTGCTCCGGCGGAGAATTCAAGGGTTGAAATTCCCTGTACGTGTGTCCCGGAGTCCACTTATATGTGTGACGGCAGTTTGATTTGCCCACGGGTGTCTTGCCGTCATTCTCCAGACACCAGTGGAACGGCTGAGGAATAAGGAGGATGGGAACCGGTTTGGGGATTTCTGTACATCTGTGGCAGTTGGAGTGTCTCCCGGAGCAGTTGAGAGGTCTCATTGTGGAGAGACGTGGACAGTCAGGGTGAGAGTACGACCGGGACAAATGGATATGCATCAGATGGCAGGTGTCACAGTCGGTGGCAGGTAAAGCCATCAGAGGTAAACCTTGTCCAGCCGTGTAAGGCATCAGACCACAGACATAACAGCTGGAATTAGGCCGGATCAGGTGAGCTACCTTCCATGCCATGGTCAGGAAGACATTGATATTGTCCACTCTGACTTCCTGGGACCCCTCCTTAGCTTGAGCTCCTGTGGTGGACCTCACCTGGAGCAGGAGCAGAAGCAGGAGTTGTAGGAGCAAGAGCATTATTGCACGAGAAGAAATTCAGTTTTTAGAGTTGATACAGATCATGTGGATTCTGCTGCCATCATGTGGCGATCAAGGGGTAACTGTGGAAATGGATGAAAGACACATGTAAGTTTATTTTACTACTGACAGGACTTGATGTGTTTAAAACAGCTGGATTTCTACATTGGGGTCTCAATAAAATCACTGTGAGTGTAGGTTGCCAACATGGACCTGTGCTGCTAAATCTAACCAATGTGACCAAACACACAATGTGACCAAACACACAAATATCTGCTCCACATGGACCGC